ACAGATCATACTGAGTAGGAATGTAAATTTAAACACAATAGATTTTGTCCCTGTCCTCGTTATAAGGCTAAGTTCTTATTTCTATTTCCTGCTTTCCTTTCGCTTCCATTTATAGTAAGGTAAACAACCAAGAACCAAGAAATGTGACGTATTGTTTACGCTGTCATGCTCACCTAACGCTCCATTGTTGTATTCACTTCTTTGTCAAAAGTTACCTGGATATAGTTTTATCTGCATACCTCATACGTCATTCTGTTTATATTCAGGCACGCCCAGACTTTATTTCTATTCAGTGAACCTGTTCAGATCTTCACAAGTATACACATGACTTCTTATTACACCCAAAGTTTAAACACTGTAATTTTTCATGTCAATATTTAGTTTCAGCATTTTTATGTGTTCTTTTATCATCACAGGGTAATTTTGGGGTAGCTTATAATATTTCTTTTTGGTGTCCAAAGGGTTGCCAACATCTGAGAAAGGTCATGTGAGGTCAAACATAGGTCATTTAAGGACAATCTCCCAATGTGCTATGTAAGAAAAAAGGGGGAAAATTGCTTGCATAGTATTAGTATATTAGTATATTATTATAACATAATCTGTGGTATCCCAAAGGTCAAACTTAGCTCATGTAAGGTCAAATAAAGTTATAATTAAGACTTGTCAAAATATTGTCAAAATATTTCTTTTCTGTCCTTAGAAAGTGAAAATTTTGTTGTGTTGTTTTTTTCTTATAATCTGTTTCGCTAAAATGTTTGGTGTGAATGAATAAAAAACAGTAATCTAACAAGTTTTATCGCTTTCGGAAAAATTGCAGTTCATATATAAAGACCCACCGTCATGAGACATCCATGTTTGATATGGGTCCCATGCATCATGTTTATAACATGTGTAAATTGCATTGTTTGTTTGACTGGCAAACAAATCTGAACAACAATTTTGACGCTTTAAGTGACTGCCTGTCATTGTCATCTTTCTGGTGAAACTTTATACTGTAAAATACTTTATTTTAGCTGGAATTAATTTTCGCTAACTTTTTGGGTGTTCTGAATGGAATTTTCACTGATTTCTGGCGAGTTGAATGTAAAACATAGGGAAAATGGTATATTCACTGGATTTTATTTTCACTGAATCATTCCTTCGGCGAAAATAGCAAAAATAAATTCTATGCAAAAATAAAGTATTTTACAGTATTTGAAATTAAAAGTGCCTTCAAAATAGGGTGCCAGATGCATCTTTTTTTAATGCCAAAAAACACAATTGTTCCTAAAACAACATATTTTTTTCGTGTAACATCATTTAGCCTTGACAATGCTAGAACTGAAGATAATCTGAAATATTTTTCTAATATTCCACTTCATCTTTTTGGGCAGCATACAGTATTTCAAATGACAATGTAATGTAAATTGTATGTAATAAATCATTGACTTTGTTAACCCATCAGTACCATAACACCCTACAGTACTGTAAAAGACTTTATTTTAGCTGGAATTTATTTTCGCTGAGAAGATTTTTTGAGTGTTTAGTATGGAATTTATTTTCACAGATTTTTGACGAGTTAAAGCTAAAATGTAAGAAAAAAAGTATATTCGCTGGATTTTATTTTCACTGAATCATTCCTTCAGTGACAATAACGAGAATTAATTTCAAGCAAAAATAAAGTATTTTACAGTATTTCAAATGACAATGTACAATAATGTAAAAATAATTGTAATAAATCATTATCTTTATTAACCAAACAGTACCGTAACATTTTTGTTGTTGGATTGGTCGAGTTTCTAATTGCATCAAGTTTTTACTTGTACAAAATTAGCTTTATTATGATGGTTTCACTTCCTTGTGCGTAGGAAGCGTCTTGTAGATCAAATCTATTCATCCATGCATCAGTACCCTTGGTTACTTGTTGCCAGGTTGCATGATTGTCTGTGTGTCTGTACATTAGGTCATGTAGGATTTTAAAGTTGTATCCTTGCACGTTTAAAAAGCACAGCACCCTCTATTGAGAAGGTGAATAAACCTGTACCATTTGTACACTGTCAAATTTTTTAGACAAAACATTTTCTTTTTTTTTGCTAAAATATTCAATGGCGCTTTACAGGTTTATTCACTTTCTCAACAAAGGACAATGTGAAGTGTTGAAAGTAGTGAAAAAAAAAAATATTGGCCTGCTTGCTTACCCAAAACATTAATTTTATTTTGGCCTTACCTGTGTATCATTGGAGGCTGATTCTTCAACAAACATGTATTTTTTATTTGAATGTTGGTTTCTGTCCAGAAACAAGATTGTTCATTTGGCCAATTTGGCAACACGTGCTGTTTTAGTTTAATTCAGTAGCAATTTCTAAAGAAATATGTTTAATTGGTGAATTTTATAAGCAATTTTTGTATTTACTGTAATGCACATTTTTTCAATCTTGTTGTCTCTATGATGATTACTCGAAAACACAATTTTCGAGTTTTTGTGTCTGTGTGTGTATCTGTGTGCATGTGCGTGTGTATGTGTATATCAGATTTTAATGAAACTTGGTACAAAGATGCTCTGGGATAATGCACAGATCTGATTAGTTTTTGGTTGAAATCCATGCATATTAATTACCTAATTTGCATGATAATTAACACTTTCAGCAAACAGTTTTTTCTAAGCTTTCTTTGATTTATTATGTAATTTTATTATTATGTAATGATTTATGTCCATGATAGTCTTTTTAGCAGAGTTGTTAGGAGTTTAACTCATTTTACTGTCAATAATTTTAATCATGCAGTCAGTTTTCTTTATGTTATAACTAATTAGAATTATTTGTTTTTGTTAATGTCATGTAATTCTTGGACAGTCTTAATTTGAAAAGCTGTTGGGGGTCAACTTAAATAAATATAAGAATTTATCATAAAAACTATAATAATCAATTTGTTTGCAGGGTGTTTTCCGGTCAGAAAGGTTACTATCAGTGTAAGTGGTATTTGCCGTTGCGGAATCTTTCACTGAATCCAAACGACGAGAATGCACAAGGTAACTATGGCAGAGCTTAAAATAGAAACAGGAATTATGTTCATGATTTATTACATTTCCTGACTTTGTGAAGGTAGGTTAAAAACTGAGCAAAATAAGAATTGGTCACCAACCTTATTTTCTTGTTTTGAATAAAAATTGGTAAAATCAAATCACATTTGTTGCTGGTTGTTTGAACAACATTTTTGTGAACATGTATTCCAATATTATTTTGATAACGAGTGAACTCAACCAATTGTCGTTGGCCGACAGGGGTGTCGTCGAATATAATAAACCAAAATTATGTAAGTCAGCTAATAGTTGTCAGTGAGAATGAAATATGTTTGTGCACAGTTGATCGACTTTTTCAAAACTGTCGACTGACTAGTATCGACAATCAGACGTGTAATTTTGCCCTAACTCAGGTCACCAAGAATCTTAATCGAAACTTCTCAATCTGGATTATTCCGAAAAATCTCAAATCTGTTTTTTTTTTTCCATTCGCTTCAAAGCTACTCCTTCATTGCCACTTACCAGTGAAAAAGAAATTGAAGTACTGCGTTCCAAAATCGCGGAGGTCAAGTCAATGATAAGACAGGAACAAAATTTAGCAGAGAAGGACAAGGTAAGAACTCTAGAACGTTAAAGCGACTCCAGTCACTCTGTCCAATATACAGGAACCCTGCTCTCCAAAATTGTGGTTGCCAAATCTTTGATACAACAATTACAAGATACAGTGGAGAAAGGCAATATTAGTGGTTGATGATGAGCGGTGGTACAACGAATGTTTTTGCTCATTATTATCATATCTCACTGTTGTTACGCGTGATGTGATTGGTTGAGACTCGGTCACATGACATTGAATAAAATGCTGGCTCTGGCATCATCTATATTATGCTCATGACCACCATTCCTTGTACAGGCAACAAATCGTGATATTGCCCTCACAAACATGTGTTATTATTTAAATGCTGTGGGTGGTGATCATTGCTTAGCGTGTGTTCAAATTTTTTGTCAACAAATAAACAAAATAATGTATTTTACGTAAGTTACGCATGTTGCTATTGGACCCCCACCAAACAATACTGTAAAATCTGTATTAGAAACGGCAGCTTCTATTAAAATGGTACAATGCAACAGAGGGGATGCGGCTTCTATTAGAGCATCTACACATATGAGAAATGATGAATTTTTGGTTCTCAATTCTTCAAAAAGAATGGAAGCGACTTCTATTAGAGATGCGGTTTTTAATACCGATTTTACGGTATATGCTGTGACGACTAGCGACCAATGAGGTTTCATGACAAGGATTGCGTCACATTGAGAACAGTTCGTGCCATAACAATGACTTCTTTCTATTATTCAGAAAGCTAGAAATGCACAGAAGAGCATTGCCAAATATCGAAAGACTCTCATGGAATATGTAAGTATAGAAATTAATTGGTGTTTTGGGATTTTATGGTACATATTTGGCTATAGGCATGACTTGACAAAGGCTGCAGTGACAGTTACCTGGATGCTCCTTTTCTGCCACTTTTTAAAACCCAGATTTTTGAAATAGTTTGAGAACAGCAATAAGTATCCCATCATTCACAATATATAATTTTGGAGCCTGTGTAACCGGGCTACAATTTGAGATATGGCATAACATCCCCGCCATAGGAACCTATAGTAAAAGCGTTATAATTCTGTCAAAATAGCCACTATCCACTAAAATACAACCATCATTTTCTCAAAAATTAATCTGGTTTGAACTCATTAGTAGGCTTCTACCTTATGTCAACTTCAAAACTTACAACTCAAATTCATAAAGCTGTTTAGTGTAAGAAATTTAAAAAATCTCCAACAGCTGAAATGACCACCATCGTAGGACACTATGAAAATCATAATTATTTAAATGTTACGGTCACCAACGGCCACCAATAGATTGCATCTGTGTTTTACCAAACTTGGTTGACACTGGAATTGTGCATGATAAATTATAGGTAGATGATCACACATCCCTGTTGTACAGTCCCAAATACGGAATGAGGTTTCTGTTGCAACATATACTATATGTCAGCACTTGCAATTTGCATACAAAAAATAGTTCGGAGGGACAACAGTGATATTTTGTGTTTTGTGTTATCTGTCACAAAAAATAATAAAAATAAAAATTGAGTGTTTGATATATTTCCCACAATTCATTGCATCATATATATTACATAATTGTCTCATACTAGAATGTAGCTTTAATCGATTGAATGCTGAGGTCAATGTTTGTAACCATTGGCAAAGTAAGGCAACATAATTTTTTCCAAAATTTGAAAAAGATCTGAACCCAATAGAAAATTGTGTTTATTTATCCCAAAATAAACAAAAACAAAATATAGCAAATTCATAACAATGTGCAAATTGTTGCATCAAAGTTTTGGTGGAAAAAATGGTATTAAAAGGTTCATCAGCCCACCTGAATATTTTCTGTTAGCAATATAATTTTACTTATTTTCTGCTTTACTTTATTAACCCAGGAGGACCAAATGTCACTGATATCTCCAAACCTACCATTGAGACTCTATGATAAAAAAGAAGGAAAGGTACGTAGAAGAGGCAGCAGGTGCAATCCCAATATGTGGTTATTCTACAAATGCAGTTTTTGTGTTCTTTATAATAATTGAACATCAATGTGGCTGCTAGGCGTGCATTAAAATTTTGTTTAAATAAGTAATTGCATTTTACATTCACACGTTCATACACGTGAAATCAAACGTGAAAACAGGACAACACTGGGGTCAATTCTACAAACGTGAAAGTATTTCTAGTATATTTCCACGCTTAATAATGTGCTATACATATTTGATGATGCTCAATTTTGATAAAGTACGGTAATTGTATCTCAATGTTTTTGTGGCAGTCCTTGGTTGCATGAATCACACAGCAAATTGAAAATCACTTATTGAGCACAAACTGTATGCTATTGCAGACACAAAAAAATGTTTTAGTTATTAAAATATTTGTTTTTATTCATTTTGATTATTCACAGAGGCTTTCAGCTGGCAATGTGTTAATACTGTAAAAGAATTAATTATTCACTGAGTTTATTTCAGTGACTGGAAAATGCGCTAAATTAAAACCCAGTGAATATGTAAAATTTAGTATAGAACACATTATCTAAATGATAAAACCGTGAATTTAAAACCCACTGAATATGCGTGAAATGGTAAATCAGTGAAATTTAAACCCAGTGAAAATTAGTCATTTTACAGTAAGATGCAACTCGTCGCATTAATCTTTCGCCAGTTGATCACCATATATGGATTCTTGGCTGTGTTTAGATTCTAAATTCACTATGTCTTGCTTTTTGTAGACGCGTACTCTACTAATGGCTTCTGATTACGAAAGATCTGAATGGCGAGAAGCAATAGCGACTGCAAAAAGAAACGATGTCACGATCAATGATTTGGTACTAACTGAATTTGAAATCCAGACGTTGTTGTCCAAATCTTCTAAGGTGAGTAAACTTGCGATTCGGGAATCTTTTTTTTTTCTTTGGTTAACTGAGTTTTTGAGAATCTCACACACTTTAGATTAGATTTGTGTTAGGATATAAAAGCTGCACATGTCTGTAATGTTATAATTCTAAATTGTAAAATCTGATTGCTTTGATATTATACTTAAAGGTACCTCAGGTGGACCTCTCTCAGATTTGTTCATTTTCTGATGATATCTTCAGTTCTCTAATTTAGATAAATAGCTTTGTATTTTTTGGTAAAAAGTGATATTTTTGACTTCTTGTTTAAAACTGCAAGTCTGATTGCTTTGATATTATACATATAGGTACCTTGGGTAGACCTCTCTCAGATTTGTTTGTTTTCTAATGATATCTTTTGTTTCTCTAATTGAAATATACATTGCTAACAGCGAAGCTATCTCAGCCGAGAGCCTACTTGATACTTCTTACCAGGGTAGTAAACCCACTTGCAACAAGCTATTTATTACTTCACTTTCTTTAGGCACCCATAACTTGAGAAATGCCTTTTCAGGAGAATAAAAGAATATGACCTTTGATATGCTTGTGACACTTTTGATTCATTTCCAATACTTTTGTTGATGTGATGCCATGTGAGAATAAAACGATGTGTGTAGGTCACACCTGACATTGATCACATGGTGCACTGTTAATGAAATCTGAAATGTTGACTTCACACTGGTTGTTGCTGAAATGACATAGGTATTCCTGGCTACCATGCCATTCTAGTGTTTCTGTTTACTTACCTGAGCTGTCATTTATTTAACTCTTCTTCATTGTAACATTAAAAATTCTTTTTTTTTCCAGCCTGTGAAGCCTGATGATGGGTCACCTCTGATGAAAGATGGTGAGTTTCATTATCAGTATATGTTTATTACATCATAAGGCATGTTTCGCATCATCAATTCATGTGCATTACATCATAAGGCATGTTTTGCATCATCAATTCATGTGCATTACATCATAAGCGATGTTTTGCATCATCTATTCATGTTCATTACATCATTAGGCATATTTCGCATCATCAATTCATGTGCATTACATCATAAGGCATGTTTTGCATCATCAATTCATGTGCATTACATCATAAGGCATGTTTTGCATCATCAATTCATGGGCATTACATCATATGGCATGTTTAGCATCATCAATTCATGTGCATTACATCATAAGGCATGTTTCGCATCATCAATTCATGTGCATTGCATCTTAAGGCATGTTTTGCATCATCAGTTTATGTGCATTGCATCATAAGGCATGTTTTGCATCATCAATTCATGTGTATTACATCATCAGGCATGTTTCGCATCATCAATTCATGTGCATTGCATCATAAGGTATGTTTTGCATCATCAGTTTATGTGCATTGCATCATAAGGCACATTTTACATCATCAGTTCATGTGCATCTTTATCAGTTTTATTGATTTATTCAAAATATACATTATATGTGCATGTAATTAACTTCCAATTTTATTATATATCATTATTTTTCTTGTGTACATATTTGTTATCTTCATTTTCAATTTATCTGCAATATAAATAGAATTATTTACTATCTCATCATCTCTACAGAGGAAGACGCATTGACTGGTATTCTCAGATTCACGGTTCATACTGCCCAAGGATTTGAAATCCCAGGAGGTGTGTATATACTGTTATTATTTTGTACACAAACTTCTTCAATGCCAGATATTCTTTCATCAGAATTTTTATGCCTATTATTTCACATTTTCTGTAACTTCAAGAATAATTTGTAAACCACTTTAATTTGGTAAGCGACAGTATTCAGTGAATATTTAGAGGAAAAATCACAATATTTGTAGCAGTGAACATTTCACAAGCTCCTTAAACAGCTATCCCAGTGACTTTTGTCAAATTTTTTTTTTTGTGATGCCTTACCTGTAATATGGATTCGCCTAGAGTAGGCATGGTCACAAGTTGGCGTCAGTGATATTGGAAAGCCAACAGTTTTAATAGTCAAAACCCAAGCAGTTAGCCAATTCGCTAGCAAATTTTTAAAATTGGCTGCCCAAATACATGTACTTCTGAGACTTGCTGTAAGTCGTACATTTTGGGTGACAAATTCATCAACAATAACGAACATGAATGTTTGCACTTCAACAAATATAAATAGTATGTGGCATTGTCTGATGTCATGTTGTTTCTTTCCCCAGAGTATTATTGCTGTTTAGAAGTGGATTCCTACAGTCATTTTTATTTGATAGCCAAGACGTATCCCAGCATTCAAGGCGAGGAACCAACCTGGCACCAGGTATGTATACTCCCCAGTATGGTCAATTCTCAATTCTGTTTTTCGAAAATGTCTCTAGGAATCTGTTTAGTGGACACAAATTGATTTCTGTGATTCAAAAACTTCCCTAAGAACCAGTTTAGTGGACAAAAATTGGTATGCAAGAATGATCACAAAGTCTTGGAACAAATTAAAAAAAAATTAGGGTGTTGCCATAGAAACAATAATATTGCTATCTGAAGAATTACCTTACAAGTATTAATGTTGGTGCTTTAGTATGGTTTTAATATAAAATAATACACAATTCCCAATACCATTAAAATCCAATTACTAATTACTAACTCAGAGTTGAGAGTTCCAACTGATAATGTTTATGACAAAAAATTAATAACTGCAAAAGTCTTCTTTAGTAACTGCATTTTAGTTCAAGACATTAAATATGAAATCAATTCAATAAAAAAAAAACAGTGTGATTCGGCATCATTGCATTTACAGAGCGAGGTGTTAACGCTGAACAAGTGATAAAATCTTCCATTATGGAATTAACTGTGTGCATACACTTTTACCAGTTTATCCTTTATTGTACTAATAATCCAGCTGTGACTCTGACCTATGGGGGGGGGGGGGGAGTGTTAGCCTTTCGTCTAGCAACCTTCATATGGAGAACGCCATCTTGAGTTTTTTTTAGAGGAATCTGTGTCGTAATACTCATGAATGTGGCATGTAACCAAAAGGTGCACCCTCGTGAAAATGGTTTGAACCAGTTCTAATCACGTGATCTCAAGACGTACATTGCAAACCAGTCAGCAACTTAGCTGGCAATGTTGTTGTTGTCGTATTCGGAGTAATATGGCGGTGACGATAATCTTGAATTTTCAGTTGAATGAAAAATAGTTTTGATTGTAATTTATTATTCTAGGAATTTGAATCTGAAATAGATGGTGCTGAAAAATTAAGAATTTTGTGTTATCGTAAACAGCGAGGTGAGGATCAGCTTGTTGGCAGGGGAACATTTGAGGTGAGTTCACGTCTCCATCTCTCTACCATACTACAACTTTGGTAACCATGGTGACCAAGTATTTGTGTTGCTCTTTATTACTTTAGCATTTGTGTCGTTGCTAGTATAACCAAGTCAGTTTCAAAATAAAGTGTCTAATTGTCATATGTCGCATCCATGTTGCGTGTTCTGTAATTTTGCGCTACCGTAAAATCTGCATTAGAAGCCGCATGCATAGAAGTCGCACACATTCTTTTTGAACAGTTGAGAACCAAAAATTCATCATTTCACATATGTGTAGATGCTCTACTAGACGCCTCATCCCCTCTGTTGCACTGTACCATTTTAATATAAACTTCAGCTTCTAATACAGATTTTACAGTAAATTTTGAAAAATTTGAGGAGTCTGTATAGTAGTATGTTTATACCAGGTAAATGATAAAAGCAATTTTCAACAAATATTATTGGCATAAAATATTGAGAGTTTACAACAGAGTGGCTGACTGAGCCGAGATAAATTGTGCATTATGACACATGTCTACTGTCATTTGCAGATCAACGCATACTGTATTTGCTTTATCACCGTAGTAAATGACATGTGCGTCTCTGATAAAGAAAAGTTATATATTCTAAATTATAAATTCTCTGTTTCTCGTTTCATGGAAATTTAAAAATGAGGCGGCGAGGCGTTTTTTTTTTTTTTTTGAATACTGAGCTAAAATGGGGGAAATGTGAGACAAGTGCAAGTACAAGGGCATTTTGGAATGCTTAGAAGGAAAAAACATCCGAGGCGCATAGTTCAAAATGATGCTCGCGGAAACGAGAAACAGAGATATTTTTTTTCTCAGCCTTATTGATCCAGCATGCAATAAATGCAGTTCTTGGTTTATGTGCATTTCTATTGCAAATGTGCTTCTAATAGAGCAAATATGGTAAATGTCATTATTGTACTGTACTTTCTTTCTGTCAGTATTTCTACCCCAAGTATTGTCCTACACTATTGATGTTTGCGAGGAGATTAACCGCTCAAACTGACTTGCTTGAAATAGCGATTATCAAATTAAATCAATAATTCCGGTAGTTGGTTTTTAATAAATTCTGAATTTAACTTTTCCTCAGTTGACAGAGTTACAAAAGAACAAAGAGAAAAATGTAACAATTGATATGGACAAGGTAAGAAATTTTATCTTAAAAATGATTGATTCATCTGTAAAAGTTTGACAGCAGTTTAAATCAAACCCTAAAAAATTGTTCATTGTATAGAGGTATTTTATATCTAAGTAAGTATTTGGAACAGACTTGGAAATGTTGTTTGGTTTAGCGAGGTGTTCAGTTTACAGAGCAATGACTTCATATAATACAAAGTGTAAATGTAAACTATCAAATTTAGTATTCAACAGTTGATGTTTGACGATATTTTCTTTTTTTTTAAGCATGTAACGATGTCGATCTCCTTGAGCTATGACTCTCTTGGTCGTCAAACAATGAAAAGACCAAAGTCTAAAAGACCCACAGGCGTGTTTGGTGTACCCATAAATAGAGTAACACACAGAGAACGCACTAAAATACCCGAAATTGTTACAATATGCACAGCGGAGATTGAAAGAAGAGGTGAGATCTTTTTTTATATGGTCAAATTAATTATCTATTCTGCAAAAAAATAAAAAATTCTGGTTAAGTTTTTTTTTATTAAAAAGTTGTGGTGAAAGTCATCAAGAGAGGGCGCTGTGCAGAGGTGACACAAGTGAAAAGCTTTTTTTATGGTATCTCAGTATTATCATTTCTTTTTTGTAACGATTGATTGTTCACTTTTGGTTTGTTTTGTATTGAATACATAAGCTGTACACAAATACATTTTGTTGCAAATATTTGCAATTTTTGCATATATATCACTTATAGATTTTGAGTGATAATTTTAAATATTGGTGATTATTGAAATTTTCTGTTTTGATCAGGTCTGTTTCTTCAAAATTGACAATAGGCTGAACAAGTTTTAGACCACAAAAATACAGAAAGTTTGAAAAAATCTTGTACGAAATTTGTGCTGAGATTCTGTGCAAACATTAAATTTTGAGATTTGTGCACATAAATGTTGTAAATGTAGACTACCAGTATAAACAGGACTATTTTGTGATGAAAAATGAGAACTGGTGGTGGAAAAGTACAATGTAGTTAATTTATATCAATTTGATTTTTTTTTTTTTTCACACAGGTATGTCTGAGCTGGGAATATATAGGATATCAGGTGTGAATGCAGATATAAATAAAATAAAGAAATCTTTTGAAAATGGTGAGTCTTGAGTGCAGAGATGTTTGTAGAAAAGTCGTCACTAATGTCAGACCAGATTACGGTAGCTGTCTGAGTATAAACCCCTCTGGGGAAACTGCAAATTGACGAAAATTAAGGGGAGGGAATATAAATTGGATAATTTATGCTAATTTATTCATAAACAAATCGTTGTGTTTACACGAGTGTTTTCACCGACTACCATCGTCCAAATTAACTTTAGGATCGGCCGTTACGCCCCAGGGTCACTAATTACTCTTGGGTGCGTTTACTAAGTGGAACAGCATTATAATCTTATATCCGAAAAATGACTTGTTTTAAAATACTGTAAATTTGGAGTGGGGCTTTTATACTCAAGCAGGGGTTTATACTCGGACAACTACGGTACATCAAACTTGGGCTAAAAAATAGATT